GAGTGAAACTGACAAAAAAAAAAATTGAATTTCTTTATTTCAATGTCTGCAAATATAATTTTCTACTGGTTACAGCTAGAGTTGAGCAATTAACTTGATTAACTGATATAATCTATTAGCTATGAGCATTGGTTACATTGATTAGTGTTATGTAAAATAATCAATTAAATCAATCTCATGAAAATAATCAAAATTAGTGTATCCAGTCTTTAATGTTTTCAATCATTATGACTGCCCATGTAAATGAAATGATGGAATTATGATTTTTAATTTTTATGTTTAATTAATCCAAGGCTGTTCAGTTTATCAATTAGAGTAACTACTCACAGAAATCATCAATTAATCAAACTAGTATTTCTCATTGCTTAAATAATTGAAAATGGTAATTTCAACAATCTAAGTCTCACTTGAGAAATATTGATTAGTTTAAAGTAATTGATTAATGAGCCTGACAATTGATTATCAAATTCCAGCTTTAGTTACAGTACAGAAATGCTACTTATTTCTATTTAAGGCGTTGTTATCCGAGTGGAGTAGTTGAATAGTTGAGTAGTTTATGAGTGACTATTACAGGTTAAAATATATGTGTGATGGTCTGAAAATACTTCATTATACATGAAATCCTTTGTGTTTTCTTACATTTAGTCATCTAATTTCAGTTTATCTTTCTAATGGAAGGGTATTTTGGAAGATATTGTATCTTGTTTTCTATACAGCTTCTACATGTGTTTCCATGAAATTATTTTCTGTCCTTCAATAATTTAAATTAAAGATTGTTTGGTGCTACTATGGCATGCAGTCTACAAATATATTTACATTATAGTGTGCTGGCTACACAGATACTATCATCATCATAGTTTTAACTTTCGTTTATTTGCGATTGGTGCCATATATTATAAATAACACTTTTAAACAAATAAAGTACAAAATACCGTCAAGTAACATTTTTGGGGCAAATGTAATCGGAACAAAATAAATTCAAACAATCAAAACTAGCACAATTATAACCTAAATTTAAGGTACTCTTTTGGAACACATAACTTATTAAATCATTGTTATTTGGTGAACAAAAATGTGGTTACATATAAATTATTTAGCAAGAAATTATATTTTAATGAATCGTTAAAACGGTGATGACGTTGCTTGGTTCACTCTTTAGTTCAGTTGATAGATAGGTAGATCACTTATTAGATTCAGGTAGAGCTGGACAATTAACTCAATTAATTGATTACGTATTAGCCTCAATTAGTGTCACATAAGAAAATCGATTAATCAAAATTATGATTAAGTCAATTAATGTCATGAAAACAATCAATTAAACAAAATTAGTGTTTGTGATTATTCCAACTATCATTATTAATTTCAATTAATTCAAAGTTGTTCAATTTAATTGTTTTATGTCACGTCTCATGAAGATAATTAGCCAATTGAAACTGGTATTTTTGACTGTTTTTGTTATTCCAACTATCAAAGTCTTTATATCAGAATAATCTAATAGTTGAATATAATTGATCATTGAGTCTAATGATTAATTTATTATCAAATTCTACTAATTGGCCAACTCTACAATCACAGGTGATTCAAAATTAGGATTACCACACCTTCACCCTTTCAACTAAGGTGCAGTATATATTGATTAAACCACTAAAGAGATTTCACTATTTTTATTAGCTTGCACATAAAAACAAATAAAATATAAAAATTACAGCAGGGATGAAAGTGAAAAGCATGAAGGAACTAAAACGTTATTTAATGACAAGGAACTCATTTTGAGGTTTGTATATATATATATATATATATATATATATA